CAGGGTGGGACGCTGGGGATTCTCAAAGGTATACCCTTGGAATGGCCGGATCCAGCCTTGAAAGTACGAGATCGCGCGCGCTTCGCGCGCTGCACCGCCTGTTCTCCGCGGCTGAGTGACGACGCGTGCCGTGTGCCAGCAGAGTTGGGCGCGCGCGGCGCGACGGCGCCCGCGAGGGAAGGCGCGGGTGCAGCGGCCACCGGCGGTCGTACCGCTCGCCGGCCAGCGCAGCAGCGGCCAGCGCAGCGGCCGCCGGCGCAGCAGCCAGAGCAGCCGGTGCGCGCCTTGCGAGGCGAGTACTGCCGCCCGGCAGCGGCCTTGAGGCGGCCGGGCGGCAGTACTCGTTCGAATTTTGCGAGCCGTGCGTGAGACGGTTACACAAGGACGGTCAGGCTACGGAGTACGGTCAGGAAGTAGGTTTGAGTTCACACTCTCCAACACTCCCCCATTGTCTCCGCAGTCTTCATGAATGAGGATGCGGCAGACAACAACAGCGAGCCTGTACAACAGCAGACTGAGTGTGAATGTGTCTGAGCGTAGGTATGCCGGTTACCCGCCGGCGTCTCGCGCGGCTGGCTAAGCGTCCAACCTTGCGTCTTCGCGAAGGATGGTCTTGCTTGTTGGCAAGACTTGCGCGCTAAGATGAAGGGGTCAAAGCGCGGCCCCGAGTGGGCGGAGAGAGAGAATAGGGGAGATAATGAACAGGAGCTCGTTGTGGAGCTCGGTCATGGCGCGCCGCGAGCTGCAATCCGGGCTGAGCGTCGCGGGGCGGCGGCTTGAGCGGGCGCGGCAGGCGCTGCGGGCGCGGGAGCGGCAGCGGGGGCGCCCCCTTGCGGCGCGGCGATTGGGCCGTTGGGAGGCCTCGCCGCGTTGACGCGGATGAGCGCATCAGGGACGTGAGGACGATCTTCAATGCCCCGAACGTTGATGTTGCGCCACGGGCCGCCGACGTCGGAGATGGCAGGCTCAGTCTCAGACGTCCAGACGGCAGAGACGCTCGTAGAGGCGCATTGGACTTCTTGCCAGAGGCGTTGGACAGCGGGACGGGCTAGCGCGAGGCGTCGGGCCGAAGCCCGTCAGGCACTCTCTCCCTAACCCTAGCCTTCTCCCGAACCCTAGTGTGTTTTGTTGCCTCCGTGCTTTCACACTCGTCTTGTCGTGTCCGTCCACTGTGATTGCGGCCGTCCACGACTACGTCGTCTCTAGAGAACGTATCAACCCCCTTCTGGTGCCGTCCGCGCCCCCGCGGGGCACGGCCGGACGCGAGGAGGCGAGACGAGGAAGAGACAGCACAATGAGGTAGAGTGGCATTGCCACGTCGAACAGATGCCCAACACTCCCCCACGACGTGATAATCGCCACACAAGGCAGAGAGGGCGTGTCGATCGTCGCGTGTTCATCGCGTACAGCTCCGGTCGTGTCGAGCGGCGACGTCGGAAGTAGCGGCGGCGAAAGGCAGGGTCCACCTTCGGTGCGAGATCTTTGCGGTAACTGCCGTTGCAGCAGCCCGAGAGCTGGTAGCGGAGGCAGCAGCTGCGATGGTGGTCCGTAGGCGAGGAGAACGGGCCGGTAAGGAGAAGCAAGAGGGGATACTCGTGTCCACACAGCCGCAGTGCTGGCGGAGATGCGCTCTGTCGCAGAAGATCCGCAAGCACCCAAGTTGATGTTGCGGTTGTACTCATTCTGCTCAGCCTCCGTGCCGAGCAGTTGGTGGCCGCTGTGCCACCGTGCGCCGAGCCTCTGTGCCCAGCCAATCACCACGGCTCGCGCATATGCCCATGGTGCCAGCCAACGTATCGAGCGTAAGCCGGAAATGCTGTGCGGCAACACATCTCGCTTGTGTGCCGCACCAGCTCTCATGTCGGCCTCAGTGCCGCACTGCTCACTCCGTGCACTCACCGGTCGGTACCAACCATGTCAGGAGACAGACGGAACACGGAGGAGCTGTATAGGTCACTAGACACCCACACCATCGCTACATCACCACAGCCACCAAGTCGGATACAAGTTGATGACGAAGTGCGACAAACCAAACATGAGCACTCTCCAACAAGATGTTTGACGCGTCGCCACATTCACAGCCTTGTTATTGAGAAGAAAATACCTCCTATGGCGCTGTGCGCTGGCCTGTGAGAGGTTGAGGTGCGAGCCCTGGAGGCCCTGGGGATGGGGGGGGACTACCCGCGGGCTTAGAAGGCCCGCGCGCAGGGGGGTGGGGCATTGAGACCGGTCATGAATGAGTGCGCGACACGCATTCACACGAAAACACGACCCCGGCGCCAAGCTCCCCGACCACAAACTCAGACAGACCCTCACCGCTTTTCCCGGCCTTGCACACGACGTCGGACACGACTGCCGTACCCGCTCTCCGCACCCGTCGACACACACACATATGCGCGTGATCCTCCTCCTCTTCTTCGCCGGCCCCGCCTCAGCGGCGCGTGCGGTCACGGTCCCCGCTCCGCTACAGCGGCCACTCGACTGTGTGCGCTCGCTGCTCGACCGGCTGCCACGGCCGCGCGATGGCTCCTGGCCCGCGACCGGCTCGACGCGGCCGCCACCGCGCGGGCCTGCAGACATTGAGCGCTTTGTCGGCGAGGCGACTGAGGAGGAGGGGTGGGCGCCGGTCGTCAGCCGCGATGGCTTTCAGGTGAGCCGTCGCAACCTGAGGGGCAGCCGGCACGTGTACGTGCGGGGGCAGGGCGTGTTTGGCGCTCCGCCGGAGGCCGTGATCGGCCTCTTCGAGACCTCGGACGCGGCACTCATCCGCCGCTACAATCCGCTGTACGACTCGGGGTGGGACCTCGAGCGGTACGACTCGCGCACGAAGGCGGCGTACGCCAAGGTGAGGGCCGCTTGCCCCGGGGTGCGGCCGCGCGACACGGTCTCGCTCATCTCGCGGCGCGACGTCGGCGGGGGCGCGTGGGGCTGCGGCGGCACCGTCTTTTTCCAGGAAGCCACGACCCACCCCGCCGCGCCACCGCTGCGCGGCGTCGTGCGCGCCAAGATACTGCGCGGGATGTTCCTCGTGCAGCCGGTGCCGGGCTGCCCGCGCCAGACGAGGTTCACCTTTACGCAGCAGTGCGACGCCGGCGGGGTGATCCCGTCCTGGCTGATGAACCGGCTGATCGTCTCGGAATCGATCCACTTCTTGCAACGGCTCGACCGGACCGCGCAGGGCCGGTAGCCACGAGCGTGGGCCGCCCGTGGCATGTTTGAACGCGCATACACATGTTAGACTAGAGTCTCAAAGCCAAGAATAAAAAACCCGCTGCCGCCACCACGACACTTCACACTAGAGGGACACAGCTCACACCGCCGAGAGACTTGTCACCTGCGATTAAATCTCCCCTGCACACCGCCTCGTCTGAGCGACAGCCATATATGTCGTGTCCATCCCTGAACTCTGCGCAACGCGCTTCACATCTGCTTTTTCATGAGCTTGGATGGCGCGCGAGGCCGCCGCTTGGCTATCATCCCGCTGCCCTTCAACCGCGGCCAGGTCGATATCGCTCTTACCCACTTTGCGCTTCGAATTGAAATAATACACACTTGATCAGGCACATGGCATATGCCTTGACATGCGCATGCGGGTACAACAAACATGTGCATGCACATGACCTGTGCGTGCACATGTGCATGTGCATGCACACAAACGATCGCCGAGCGCGAGCTCGAGCGCGCGGCGAACCTAGATCCTATTGCCAGGCCGGATTTTCCCGCCTTCCTCTCCTCTTTTGGATTTTTTTCTTTTTCTACGATCTAAGATGCTCGATTTTGCTTTCAAGTCAGCAGCAGCAGCAGCAGCAGCAGCAGCAGCAGCAGCAGCAGCAGCAGCAGCAGCAGCTTTGCCACAACAAACCTACTGTCGCGGCCTAAAGTGTGTGCAAGTTAGTCAGATCACGATCCCGGCGTGAACACGACTAACTGACGGATCCGCTCCTGACAGTCGCACGCACCGCACACTGCGGCGCGTGCGACTGTCTTTGTTTGAAGTAAAAAGTCGAACCAGAGCGGCGTCGGCGTTGATCTGAGTTTCCTCCCACGGACCGGCCGTGCGGCACCGCTCCGGGAAGCACGCCGGCGAAACACCATCAAGCTGCTGTACAGTCTCGGCACCTCCCCTGGCTTAGCTAGAGTGAGACTAGGAGTGAGAGATATTGTGCACATGGTCTATCTCTACGCTACAATATACTCACTGACACTTCACCTCCCAGAGCTCGTTCTGGTCCGCCACGGCCATCCTCGGCCTCCGGAGGGCCCCCGGCCGCGGCGCGGTGCGGCGGCGTCACAAATCCAAACGCAGAGCACCGGGACGCGGTCGGGCGATCTGAGGCCCAACTAGGCGTATGCATTGCCCATCCAGGGCTATCACCTGGACCTATCAACAGGCGCCTGCGGCGCCGTGCTCAGGAGCTGCTGCTCCAACCTGTTCACATAAACGCACAACCCCGGGCCCGAAATCGCACAGTGACAGTCAGACATGCAACACGGGGTCCCAGGGAAGGCAAGCAAAAACCTTATCGCGCGCGCAACCTGTTCACAGCCTTGTTATTGAGAAGAAAATACGTCCTACTCGAGTATGGCGCTGTGCGCTGGTCTGAAGAAGAGAAGACACATTTCTTGTTGGCTTCTAAAAATCTCTCTCTCTGGTCTGTGAGAGGTTGAGGTGCGAGCCCTGGAGGCCCTGGGAATTCACAGCCTTGTTATTGAGAAGGAAATAGTCCTATGGCGCTGTGCGCTGGTCTGTGAGAGGTTGAGGTGCGAGCCCTGGAGGCCCTGGGAATGGGGGGAGACTACCCGCGGGCCGTTCACAGCCTTGTTATTGAGATTCACAGAACCTCAGCAGAGAAGGCCGGTAGGGGCAACGCCGCGGCGCTCCGATGCCCTCCAAGAAGTCGAAAAAGAAGGAGCGGCGCCTCGACCCTCGCGGGTACGCCACAGCGAGCACACCCAGATCTTCGCACAAGGAGGACTGTGACGACGGTGCCCACGTTTCTGTTGGTGCGCGCCTCGCCGTGAGACCGGGCGGCTCGGTGCGGCTGGGGCTGCGCGTGCGCGCGCCTCCTGCGCTGGGCTTGGAGGATGCCGCAGGAGAGCCCACCCTTCGGCCCGAGGAGAGCCCGACCGCGCCCGTGCAAACTTTGCCGGCAGTGCCGGCACGGCTGTCACTGCCGAAAACGGAGGACTCGAGCCCTGTCCTTGAAAGGCCGCCGCCTCCCGAGGGAGCCTCGCGCCCCATCCCCATCCCACTGGCGGCGCGGCCGGTGGGGGCGCTATCTCCCGAACCGGTGCTCAGCCCCGTGCAAGTGGAGGAGGGCGCGCCTGCGCGCACCCCCCTCTCCGCCTCG